CATTCAAGTAAAAAGGTGGTCAGACATAAACCAAACCACTTCACTTCCCACTTTTAAAAGTTCTAATCTCTCCTTTTTAAGATTTGACCCTTAATACGATACCTGACATAACACTAGATACTGGCAACGTTGTATTCCAAGGGGGCTACAATTAGCCGCTTCTGCAATTTTGAGTCTAGTTGCGAGTTCTTGAGTTTTGAACGGCGTTCAATTTTTTGATAATTATAACAGTGTTAATTTAATAAAAAATTTGGTTAAACTCGAATTCTTCAAAAACTCCTTTTTGTTCATTACTTAGGCATTTTTTGGCGAAAATATTCACTATTTCTACCTCATAAACGCACAAGTTTCCTTTAGAGCAGCAACAAAATCCTGTTTCTGACGTTGACAACGGTAATTTTGACAAAATTGACATTCTAACATCGCAGAACCGGCTCAGAGCGCAGCAAAAGATCAAGTCGCTTCAAGTGTTTATTGAAAAACTGTTTATAAATGCGCAGAAACAAACCAAGCTTACTTTGCTACATATTCGGTACAAAAATGACTAGATAACGTTCACCCGTAACTACTCTAGACGCATGTCAACTGTCAATATCCCTTCTCCGCCTAGGCCACATGCCAGTTAACGAGCACCTGCGTCTGCTTTGAACGCAAATTGAAAGTGACGATTTGTGCATGTGCCTGTTCAATCAAATAATCCTGAAGCTGCAGATTTAACGAAGATGTTTCCAACAAAAAGGCCTTTGGACAGCTGAGTTTGAAGAATGATTGGACGACAACGACGAAGTAGTTACGAGTTCTAGGGGAGAAACGGCCTGGCAAATACGAAAACCCTAACATTTCTCCTGATGAAGATCAATGGACCCTCTTGGTATCACATCAGAGTCACTGTTAGGTCCGTTTGGGACCGTTCAAACCGTTAATATTAACTGTATATACTTTCCTGACTGTGTTTCAATTCCAAATCAAAATTAATTCCTGGGTTTCAGTCATTTATTGTCTTTATTTATCAATTAAAATACGTT